TGGCAGACCACCTCAGCAACGAGTGGAAGGACAGCTTACAACGTGCACAGCAGGAAGATCCGGACATCAAGCCGATCCTAGAATGGATGAAGGCCAGTGCTCTCAAGCCCAAGTGGAGCGACGTCTCAGCCATGAGTTCGGCCACTAAAAGCTATTGGGCCCAGTGGGACAGCTTGCTGCTTCAGGATGGAGTTCTGTGCCGTAAATGGGAAAATGTTCGGGGAGACAGCTGTTATTTACAAATTTATTTATTTATTTATTTAATGACCTTTACAGAAAAAAACATTACAGAACAGTTCATATCTTCGCCAAACTGTAAAGACAGTTTGTTGGCGAATAAATGCACTCTTATATCCTATTACGAAATTAAATTAAATAAGTACCCAACCCACGTAATATTACAAACAACTAAAAAAAATTTTAAAACATGAACACAATAAATTCCACACTCTATCAAATACAAATACAACACCCCACCCACATAACATTGCAACAAAATAAAAATTGTAAATATAACCCGGATATATATTTTTTTTCAAGTATTACAAACAAATAATATTTTTCTAAATGGTCATACATCTAACATTTTATCCAAAAAATATTTCCCAAGTTTCTTTTTAATTTTTAATTTGCAATTAGGTCTATCTTGCCTTAGCCAATCTATTTCATTAAGAAGCTTTGGTATTAAATATTTTGTACATCTTTTACCATAGTAGTTTTTAACACTAGGCTGAAATAATTTCCCTTCTCTAACTTTCCTGGTTCTATATTTATTATCCAATTTTTCACTATGATTATTTTTATTAATGTTTTCCAGAAGTAATAGCATGTTAACTTTGTGTTCTACCGGTAAAATTTTACAAATAGAGAATAACTTAACATAATCTTTCTTACAATTTTCTTTAACTTTTTCATTTACAAGATGTTTTAGAAATCTTGTCTGTAGATTTTTAATGTCCTTTAAATAGGAAGAAAAAGTACGACCATACACACCAAGTCCATAGGTTATGAGGCAATCCACCAAAGCATAATATAGAAGATACATAGTTTTTTTGTTGGTTGTCCCTAAAGCTAAAGTACCGGATGTTCTACAGCTGTACCATAACGATTATTCAGGAGGCCATCTGGGAGTTAAACGAACTATACTGAAGATCCGAGAACGGTTTTACTGGGTCCACTGTCGAACCGATATCGAGGACTGGTGTCGCAAATGTACAAGATGTGCGGCTGTAAAGGGACCTCAGACTCGTAGTAGAGGTGCATTGAAGTTGTACAATGTTGGTGCACCATGGGAGAGAATAGCCATTGACGTGGCGGGGCCGTTTCCGGAAAGTGAAAGCGGTAACAAGTATTTCATGGTTGTGATGGATTACTTCACTAAGTGGCCGGAAGTCTCCGCCATTCCAAATCAAGAAGCTTCAACAGTTGCTGATAAGCTAGTTCATGATGTCTTCTGTCGTTTTGGAGTACCTTTAGAGATTCACAGCGATCAAGGAAGGAATTTTGAATCTCAAATATTCCAGGAAACTTGCCGAGTTATGGGTACTCATAAAACAAGAACGACTTCTTATCACCCGCAATCTGATGGAATGGTAGAACGATTTAATCAGACATTGGAGAGGTACCTAGCAAAAGTTGTAGACAACCGGCAACGAGATTGGGACAAGCACATACAACCGTTTTTGTTGTCATATCGAAGCGCTGTTCACGAAAGTACAGCAGTGACACCAGTTTCTCAAACTGTCATTCAGATTGGGGCCTAGCATACTCCTTAATGACCGCATTTCTACAGTATTTATTCTACTTTCGCGCTGCTTCTTCTGTCACACTCAACTTTCACTGCCATACATTAAGGTAGGGTGCACACACACACACACACACATTATGTGTGTGTGTGTGTGTGTGTGTGTAATTTAAATCTATAATTAAAAGATCTGTTAAAAATAGGAAGCTCTTTAATATGGCACTACCTTACAGTACCTAAACTTATTTATGCAATAGGTATTAATGCTACATTTTGTCGAAGGCACGCGGCCCCGAGGAGATAGCAATACATTGAACCGATTTTTCACCTCAAGGCCATTACATCTGATATCATAAATTATTGATTATCAGCCTTTGCATAAAACTAAGATCTGTTCTGAACATGTTGCTCTCAGTTTAAACTTGAAGCAAAGTTATAACTGGTCCTTTAAAATACATAACTTCAGTAGAATTTTGAATGTATTTCTATCCCAAACCTCATATAAGTGCCTTAGAAGACTGCTTATGCCATCTGTATCTCATTTATACCACAAATAGTTTTGTTCAGATGCTACTGGTAGATGTGTAAGCAAAAAACTTTTTTATGCTACAATTCTTACAGAATTATTGTATGGAAATAATAACACACATGAAAATAAACTTAAGTATAAACTAAGAACTATAGGCAAAATATGAAAACAAACATATTTATTAATTTAAATCAGATCACAACCCGTGCACCAACCAATTATGCAAGTGGTGAAAATAAAGTATTATTATTATTACCAACCGGTTCCACCCACTAGTGAGTGCAGAGGAATTCTTGTTTTCCCATGCACCCACTGTGATACGGTAGGTTGTTAACTCTGTTAAAAATACCAAAGCACCTAAGAAACCTCGCCAACAACGAATATATGAATTAGCCACAAAGTATATTGCAGTGGAGCAACGGATGAACAGAAATGACTCTTGCACCTACTAGTGGGCGAAGCCGATGGATGCAGGGGTTGTCAGCCTTAGAAACAATGTGTAAGATGTTATTCATAATAACAACTTGAATTTGTATTACATACTTTATACATTGTCTTGTCTTAATGACATGGATGGCAGAGTCAATATTAGATTTGAAAAAAAAAACATGAGAGAGCATATTCACATGATGAGTATTTCATTAAATGCAATATTTTAAAGTCATTAATTGATTAAATTATGATAAACTGGAAGAAATTTTTAAGTCCTATGAACTAAACATACCAACTATAAAGGCAAAAGAATAAGAGATCCAATGTAATTCCTACAACCATATTTTGAGACAATGCATTATTTAACTTGTACGAAAACACAGCAGCAATCAAATCTACATTTGATATTTAATTTCAGTTTCAATCTCAGTGTTTTATAGCTTAAGGCATAGCATACCAACTGCTGTACTAGACAGGCAATCGAATTGAAACTTACATATGATAACGAAATGATAATTCAATTGTTTTCTGCTGTACTAGATACAAATAAATGCGGACTGCACTAAGGGAATGTTGTGCATGGACAATGCACTGATATGGCAAGCAGTGGAGGTTCATTTTGTACCCTCCACATGCCCATGTTACTTAACTTATTCTAAGTACATTACAACTAAGATTGTAGATTTCACACAAAATGTAAATTCATTTGTATCACAAACTATAGGTATATATACTCTATAATTTCTATATGCATATATAATATGTATAGTTGAGTATCTAAATATTAGGATATGGCAACTTAACAACAACTTATTGTCTAGTGGAATATTCTAACAACTAATGTAATACACCAGATTTACTCGAAATACATGCAAGCAATATGCATATATTATTGTATTCAAGTGTACATTAAAATAGCAGTGTTTGCAAAGTATGATAAAAATATTTTTAAAACATTCAAGTTTCTTATTGTTTGACAAAATTAAAAATATTTTATAATTCTTTCACCACTTTAGAGCAAAGTTATACAAGACATTGAGGTGGTGAAGCTGTGATACATAGCAGCTTTGTTGCATCACCATGGCATGTATGTAGACATAAAGCTGTGAACGGAGCTAGATCGGTTGATTCATTTTATCCACTCTAGGGTGGATACTCAGAAATGCATGTTCATCTATCCATCTCAGATGGGGTGGATAATCAGAATTCGTATTATTATTATTATATTATATTATTCATATTATTTTTCTTCGGATTTCCTCCCTCAGCTGTGTAGTCATTTATAGAAACATAATAAAAACTAGCTCAAGATACTTAATAGACAATACCTATAAAAATATATTCATACTTCTTGTTAGAAAGGTGAACACTGAAATAGAAGGAGTACCTTACAGGATTACCTATGAAGGTATCTTGGTATAAAATAATTTCTAATGAAATTAAGGACAAACTTCCAATCGTAACATTTTTGGAATGCTTGCTAAAACGCCCAGTTCCTTGCTATAAAAAATGACGAATTTATCCAGGATAATTAAATGCAACATGTAATATGTGGACTTTAATAGGCTGTAACAGTAACGGTAATGGCAAAAAAGGCAGTTTTTTATTGTTTGCGCTTAATAAAAATTAATTGATAATTAAAGTGTAAGTCTTGAACTGTACTTGGAGTAAAGTTTTAAGAACAAATAATAGTGAATTCCGATTATGCACCCTGTGTAGGGTGGATAGATGGAAATTGAGTTTCCAAGTATCCACCCTAAGGTGGATAAACAGAATAACTAGCTAGATCTAACATTAAAAACATTAAATTTATTGCAGGATTGAGTGGTACATATTGAACTGCACTGTAAGAGCACTATCTAAACACCAAAGACGGCAATGCACCATGTGGTTTGCTAAAATGTGATAGGTATAGATAATGTAGCAAATATTCAATAACCTATTAGTCACCAATATTAATGACATTGGATGTGGCTCACTCAAAACTTATTATATAAACCTAAATAATTAAAGTACATAACTTTGCTCTATTAATTATTGCAGGACGGTTCTCTTAGCTTTACATGATGTGACATTATTGTACAGAAGCAACAACCTTAACTCTTGATATGTGTGAGACAATTTTATAATAGATTAGATAACAGATACATTCATTTATATCTTTTATATAAAGGTAGAATCTAATTAATTATTAAATGGAGCTGGCAATACTTTAGGATTTAAATGTCAATTTGCATATTGTATGAACCAATGTTAAAAGGCGCCTAGGGCGCAAAAATGCAAAATATAGGAATGTTACGTTTGCAGCCAGTGAAACATGAGGCTATGTACTGTTGGGTAATCTAATTCTGCATTTGGAGAGCTAAGAAACTCCTTCAAATTAAGGGACACGTTACCAGATAATGCTGCTTCTTTGAGCTCAGATGACGAATGAGCCGAATTATCGTCGGAAGCACAATCGGAAGAAGCTCCGGGCTCTCGCCACTTGTCGTCATAGGTTAGATCACAGAGTGTAGGTGGTTCATCAGCGTCACTGAGTTCATCTTCAGGCATCGGCCGCGGCTTGCCCCGCGCATCGTCGGCTCCGTCGCGGCCGCTCTCATGCTGTCGTCGAGCATTCTTTAACGCGCGATACCGCCGCGAACGTTCTCGTTGCAGGCGCCGCTTGCGTTCATCTGCTCGCTCCAACTCTTCAGGAGTTTTCTTTGTCGAGTTTTTGCCAAAAAAGTAACGCATAAAAGACTCGTCACAGTTACGTTTCGACAGATAACTGGCCATCAACTTGTAATAGTACTGATTATCCATCACAGTAGCCTTCGCGTTGTTTTTTGTAATAAGATTTAATTTTTTTTAATACTTAAACCTAAAACGGAGAAGATATTCTGGAAATTGCGAAATAAAAATAATGAGAACGCGACTGCCGTTGACGTGACGTCATTGACTTTTCGATTGACAATTGACATTAAGTTTTGTTACGCTTTGTCAACTAAAGTTGGTCTTAGATCATACAGCCTTGTTTAATGTTTATATTTAAAAGTTTTAATTTTGCTCTACGTAGCTACAGAATTGTAATTTTCTGCTAAATCTGGTAACTCTGAACACATTTGCACTACTGCGGTTACCCCATAGCGCACAGACATTTTATTGTTGCCTGTTGCGTGGTGTAAATATAGATGGGACACGGCAGGTTGCTTATGAACATGCGGTTGACCGAAGCCACAATCCCCGTCCCAAGATATTATCAAAAATGTATATAGAAGAAATCATCATCATTACAGCCTTTCGCAAGTCCATAGGCCTCCCCCAAAGAATGCCACTAAGCACGCTCCTGACCTCCTTCATCTTTTACCAGGTCGTCACTCTATCTACATCCATTAATTTATTATATTTACGCATGTTATAATAATAAACAAAGGAAAAGAAAAACAGAAGTAATTGCATCAATATTTACAAAAAGGATATGAAAATAAGCGATTTGAATAGTCAGTACGTACTTAAAAAGTATATCTTTACAGCCTATGAAAGTCCACTGCATACAACATATCATAGCCTTCCCTTAGATTGTCACATATTTGCCATAGTTTCCACGCTTAGCAAGTGGGTTGGTAACCGCAGTTTTTTATTTTTAGTCGTTATTAGGAAAACGCTGATCTTCTGATTTGTTTCCCTCTGTGGCCTCCTACGACACCCACGGAATGTTATGGGGTAGTGAATATTCTCACACCGCCACTACACGGAAAGTTTTTATTTTATTTTATAGGATAGAGTGAGAAACGAGCACACAACCCACCTGATGGTAAGTGGTTGCTGTGGCCCATAGACATCAACATCTCTCCTCGATTACGAATCAAAATGCAGATGCGTTGTCACCCGTGAGGACTAAAGTGGATGCGTCGTTTCCAGTAAAAAAGGGGTGCTATTTTACGCTGGTATTCTGTGAGAGCGTGGTCCTTCCCCGGTCGAGCCGACTAATTCGTGCTACAAAAGTACTATAGTATGTGCCAAATCGATTGAGAAAAACGAACAATGACCTTTCGGTCGTTTAACCAGGGGTTACAAACCTTCAATATATAGGCACATTTTATATTTTGGTACTTTCTTTATTTATAATGGTTTTTTTATAATGATTGATATAATATATATATATATATATATATATATATATATATATATTTATTAACTATTATTAAAAAGTTATGTAACAGATCGCTGTAGAAGAAAAATCATCTATTGTTATAAAGTATTTTATTCATTTAACAACAAAAGCATTAATTTGTAACACATATAAATATTGGAGTGATAACGACACCGAATAAGTAAGTACTTATTTAAAAGATAAAACTTTATTTTCAATATTATAAGAACTTTATTTTTATTCGGTGCAATCATCACTCGTATCTCGAACCGGCCCAAAAATTTTGACGCATCTCTGGCTGCCATTGTCACGTTTCTTTTAGAACGAACTGACGTAACACGCGTTATGTTTATTTTAAAGGGATGAATTTGCAAAAGCTCAGTATGGTGATTATATTGCTTTGAATATTTTTTTTTTAAATATGAAACTGTTATTAAATGAATTGCTGCATTACTTTTCATAAATTGAAATATAAAATATAAAACATTGCAGATCGGAGCATCAAGGTCGTTGTAGACGGAGCACGCTCCGATTGCAAGCCTATTAATGCTGGTGTTCCACAAGGCTTGGTTGACAGATGGGCGGAGGCAGTAGAGTTCAAGGGGGAGGCATTGGCTGTTAGTTTGGACATTGCGAAGGCCTTCGATCGGGTTTGGCACAAAGCGCTTCTTTCGAAGCTCCCTTCCTATGGGCTTCCCGAGAAATTGTGCGATTGGATCACCAGCTTTCTTGCAGATCGGAGCATCAAGGTCGTTGTAGACGGTGCAAGCTCCGATTGCAAGCCTATTAATGCTGGTGTTCCACAGGGCTGCGTGCTATCGCCAACGCTGTTTCTTCTGCATATCAATGACATGTTGCATACCCGTAACATTCATTGCTATGCGGATGACAGCACTGGTGATGCTCTTTACACCGGCCGAGCCAATATTTCTCGGGAAAACGTCTCCGAGTGCCGGGACAAACTTGTGTCTGAAGTCGAGTCTCTGCTGGACAGAGTCTCGGATTGGGGGCGACTAAATCTAGTCCAGTTTAACCCCCAGAAGACACAAGTTTGCGCGTTAACCGCTAAAAATAACCCCTTTGTCGTATCCCCTCAGTTTCAAGGCACTCCCCTTGTTGCCTCAGCCAGTATCGGAATCCTCGGCGTCGACATATCGAGTGACGTGCAGTTTCGTGGTCACTTGGAAGGGAAGGCCAAATTGGCCTCTAAAAACCTTGGCATGCTCAGCAGAGCGGCTGTGCAGAGTATTTCATGCCGGCACACCGCCTGCAACTTTACAAGGCGCAGGTTCGGCCGCACATGGAATACTGTTCCCATCTCTGGGCTGGGGCTCCCCAGTACCAGCTTCTTCCACTTGAGCGCATCCAGCGCAGAGCGGCTCGAATCGTCGACGACCGAGTGCTTTCCGATCAGCTCGATTCACTGGCGCTGCGAAGAGATGTTGCATCTCTTTGCGTATTTTATCGCATCTATCACGGGGAGTGCTCTGAGGAATTGTTCGGATTAATCCCAGCCGCCAAATTTCGTGAACGCACTACACGTCAAACGTCCCGATACCATCCACACCATCTGGATGCTTGGCAGTCCACCACTGTACGTTTCACAAGGAGTTTTCTTCCACGTACAACCTCTCTGTGGAATAGTTTACCACCGGCGATTTTTCCGGACCGATACGACCTGGGGACCTTCAAGAAAAGAGCTTACTCCTTTCTAAAGGGCCGGCAACGCACCCGCAATTCTCCTGGTGTTGCGATTGATCATGGGCGGCGGTAGTCACTTAACATCAGGTGAGCCACATGCTCGTTTGCTCCTTCTTCTATATAAAAAAAAGCTGCGTGCTATCGCCAACGCTGTTTCTTCTGCATATCAATGATATGTTGCAAACCCGTAGCATTCATTGCTATGCAGATGACAGCACTGGTGATGCTCTTTACACCGGCCGAGACAATATTTCTCGGGAAAACGTCTCCGAGTGCCGGGACAAACTTGTGTCTGAAGTCGAGTCTCTGCTGGACAGAGTCTCGGATTGGGGGCGACTAAATCTAGTCCAGTTTAACCCCCAGAAGACACAAGTTTGCGCGTTAACTGCTAAAAGGAACCCCTTTGTCGAATCGTTGACGACCGAGTGCTTTCCGATCGGCTCGATTCACTGGCGCTGCGAAGAGATGTTGCTTCTCTCTGCATTTTCTTTCGCATATACCATGGAGAGTGCTCTGAGGAATTGTTTGGTTTAATGGGATTAAACCAAACAATTCCTCAGAGCAGTATGGAGTCGTTATTCTTCCCTTTTAGGGGTATATATATTCTGTGGTTGCGATGCGACTGCCCGCATTTGCGGCCGACTGCAATTATTTAATTGCAGTCGGCCGCAAATATATATATATATATATATATATATATATATATATATATATATATATATATATATTTATATATTTATTAACTATTATTAAAAAGTTAGGTAACAGATCGCTGTAGAAGAAAAATCATCTATTGTTATAAAGTACTTTATTCATTTAACAACAAAAACATTAATTTGTAACACATATAAATATTGGAGTGATAACGACACCGAATAAGTAAGTACTTATTTAAAAGATAAAACTTTATTTTCAATATTATAAGAACTTTATTTTTATTCGGTGCAATCAGCAAAGACTCAGCAAAGACTCGACTTCAGACACAAGTTTGTCCCGGTACTCGGAGTCGTTTTCCCGAGAAATATTAGCTCGGCCGGTGTAAAGAGCATCACCAGTGTTGTCATCTGCATAGCAATGAATGTTACGGGTTTGCAACATATCATTGATATGCAGAAGAAACAGCGTTGGCGATAGCACGCAGCCTTGTGGAACACCAGCATTAATAGGCTTGCAATCGGAGCGTGCTCCGTCTACAACGACCTTGATGCTCCGATCTGCAAGAAAGCTGGTGATCCAATCGCGTAATTTCACGGGAAGCCCATAGGAAGGGAGCTTCGAAAGAAGCACCTTGTGCCAAACCCGATCGAACGCTTTCGCAATGTCCAAACTAACGTCCAATGCCTCCCCCTTGGACTCTACTGCCTCCGCCCATCTATGAGTTATGTAGACAAGAAGGCAGCCTGCAGAATGCAACTGCGATTTAAGCGTGAGTGGCACCACACTCCGGACAAGACAATGGTCCGAGGAGCCTAAAGAGGCGTCGACGGAAGTCTGATATCCGTCTAGGTGAGAGGTCAGCAGAAGGTCCAACAGGGAAGGTGCATGATCCAAAATCATGAACAGATCTCCCCGAATGATCGGTTAAACGTGAACCAAGCTATTCGGCGTGATGGGCGTTAAAGTCGCCGACGATCACGATCTCGGAGGGATCTGCTGTAGCAACGAATCTGTAGCCATTTGGACGTGGTCGAAGAGTCGGTCTGTTTCGGCATTACCGCTATGGGACCTATAAAGGCACCCGTAGACGCGCGGATGGTTGTCGCTGTCTACGCGTAGCCAAAGAATGGACAGGTCCGAACCTTCAGGTCTGCCGAGGCGTCGAGAACAGATGTCCTCTCTGACGTAAACGCAAACTCCAGCCCGAGGCACCAGTTTGTACCCCGGGTAGGAGAGATACGAGACATCAGCCGGAGAGGACACTTGCGTCTTGGTCAGAAAGAGCAGAGCCGGCCTCGCCGTCTCGAGATGG